GCCTGGAAAAGGGCTGATGTAGCTCCCACCTTTAAAAAAGGGGGGAAAAAGAAAACCCAGAAACTACAGACCTATCAGCCTGACAGCAATATCAGGGAAAATTCAAGCAATGAATCTGGAAACACCCAGAGGCAAACAAAATCATAATTAAGAGCCAATATCTGTTTGTCAAAAACGGACAAATCAGACAAATGCCAGACAAATCTCATTACATTATCTGATAAAGTGACAAAACTATTGGACCAGAGAAATGCTGTGGATATAATTTACTTGGACTTCAGTAAGGTATTTGATAAAGTAGACCATAACATATTGCTTGATAAGTTAGAAAAATGTGTGTTAGACAGCATCACCACCAGCTGGGTTTCTAACTGGCTGACCAACCAACAGTCAATGTAGTCCTTAATGGAATTGCACTTACATGCGGGAAAATGTGCAGTGAGATACAGCAAGGCTTTGTCTTAGGCCCAGTACTCTTCAATATCTTCATCAACGATTTAGAGGAGGGAATAGAGGGGGAACTCATCAAATTTGCAGATGATACCAAGCTAGCAAGAATAACAAGTAGTCCAGTCCAGAAGATAGGCTTAAGACACAGAAGGATCTTGACAAAAAATGTTTAAAAAAAACAAGCAAACCTTTTTGGATGGAATTTATATGTTTATTGAAACTTGTTTCCATAACAAGATACTAGATCTTGGTTAGATCTTAGCTAGCCTGGTTAGTTGAATCAAGTTAAAAATATACATTATTCTTAGTAAATATACATATTTTCTTCAGTGTACATCTCACTGTATTCAGTTGGACTTAACTGTGGAAAGGCACACGTGGACTTCGTTATTTATTACCCTTCTGTCAAAGGCAGCAGGTAACTGTACAGAACAAATAACATCAAAGAGCTGCTAATTGCATTGACTCACAGTTTCTTCCACAGCAAAACTGTATAGTACTTCCTCTGCAGTTTGCAAATGTTGATAGCTGACCTGTTACTGGCTTGCAGAGGAAGTTGGCAGCAACTTCATCTGCAAATTTAGGAAGGCATGGAATGGAGGAAACCACACAAAAAAATATGCAGAAGCAAATAGCAAAAGCAGCAGCAGCATTTAGCATACACACACGCACGCACACACACAGAGATAGATATAGATATAGATATATAGATATAGATATAGATACATTTGGTCCTTAATTTTAGAAAGCATTACAAAGTTATAAGAGCTAATAATATATTGAATTTAACTTTCGGGATTATTTCAATTCAATGTTAATTGTACAGAGTAGGCTGTCCTTCTAAGGTAGTCTGCAAAGGGCAAACTTTATAACTGACAGAAGATTAAAGAAATGCATACCGTATCTTATTTTGTTCTTAGATTTACTAGTTTGTTTACTTATTTGTATCCCACCCTTAAACTTAAAGTGGCAAATAATATGTTGTCTAAACCAGCATGGTGAACCATGGTTTGCATTAGCTTATTACCCCATTAGCTCTATATTCTACATAACCTAAAATAACTATGATTTAGTTCCATATGTGAATACAAATAATCCCAAGCCATTTCCATAATGGTACAATATATTCTGCACTTTACAGGCATCGGAGTGGCTCTAGGGATATAGTGGACATTTATACAGAAATGGTGCCTTATTTGTCAAAGAAGATTCATAATAGTGCCCAACCAACTTTTTGCGAGTGGGGAAATAAAATGAAGAAACTGTAAGTTTAGCTTCTGAGGAACTCATTAAGAAGGAACATTAGTAACAAAAGCCTGGATTTGGCAAGTGTAGAAAGTACTGTATTAAAAGAACTTCTTAAGATCACACTTCTTTCCTGTCAGCTAAAATCAATGGTACAATAATAATATTAATAATGACTATTTATTTTGTAATTTTGACAAGATATAAGTCCAAACTAGATAAACACACCTTTGTTATAAAATCAGTTCACAATGTAATAAATAGACCAGTAAACACATATTAACAACTGACAAACCAAATATAACCATGCCTATTTAAAATAATTATCTGCAATTCAGTTTCATGTGTATGCAGTAATCCTTGACTTATACTTAGCAACCGTTCAAAATTACACACACACCAAAAATAGTATGACTTACAATAGATCCTCGCACATATGTGATCAAAATTCAAGCACTAACCAACGGCATGTCAGTATGATGGTTGCAGAATCACTGGATCACAAGATCAGTATTTGTGACCTTCCAAGCTGTCTCCAATAGGTAAAGTCAGTGGGGGAACCCAAATTCGCTTAACAACCACATGATTCACTTAATAGCTGTGGTGATTTGCTTAACCGTGGCAAAAAAGATTATAAAATCAGACATGACTTGTTTAACAACTGCTTTGCTTATTAATGGAAATTCCAGTCCAATTGTGATTGTAAGTTGAGAACTATCTATACATCCATAATTAAAACAGGTATCAATTCAGAAATTGTCAAGATTGATGAGGTCACAGCATAATAACACTAAAACACTCTGGCGAGAAATGGGAGAAGATCCTTCACAGAATTACCTGAATAGAATAGAATAGAATAGAATAGAATAGAATAGAATAGAATAGAATAGAATAGAATAGAAAATATGGAATGGAATGGAATAGAATAGAATAGAAAATGTGGAATGGAATGGAATAGAATAGAATAGAATAGAATAGAAAAGAATAGAATAGAATACTTTATTGGCCAAGTGTGATTGGACATAAGGAATTTGTCTTGGTGTAAATACTCTCAGTATACATAAAAAAAGATACATTCGTTAAGAATCAAGAATCATAATGTACAACACTTAATGATAGTCATAGAGTACAATCAACAATCAAATCATACTAGGAAACAGTCAATATAAATCATACGGATACAAGCAACAAAGTTACAGACCTACAATCACAAGTGGGAGGGGATGGGTTATAAGGAGTGATGAGAAGATTAACAGTAATAGTAGTGTACACTTTGTAAATAGTTGAACAGTGTTGAGGGAATTATTTGTTTAGCAGAGTGATGGCTTTCGGGAAAAAACTGTTCTTGTTTTTAGTTGTTCTGGTGTGCAGTGTTCTATAGCGTCGTTTTGAGGGAAGGAGTTGAAACAGTTTATGTCTGAGACGTGAGGGGTCTGTAAATATTTTCACAGCCTTCTTTTTGACTCGTGCAGTATACAGGACCTCAATTGAAGGCAGGTGGGTAGTAATTGTTTTTTCTGCAGTCCAAATTATCCTCTGAAGTCTGTGTCTGTTCTGTTGGGTTGCAGAACCAAACCAGACAGTTCTAGAGGTGCAGATGACAGACTCAATAATTCCTCTGTAGAACTGTATCAGCAGCTCCTTGGGCAGTTTGAGCTTTCTGAGTTGGCACAGAAAGAACATTCTTTGTTGTGCTTTTTTGATGGTGTTTTTGATGTTAGCTATCCATTTTAGGTCATGTGCTATAGTAGAACCTAGAAATTTGAAGGTCTCTACTGTTGATACTGTGTTGTCTAGTATTGTAGGAGGTGGTAGTATGGGAAGGTTTCTTCTAAAGCCTACCACCATTTCTATGGTTTTGAGTGTGTTCATTTCCAGATTGTTCCGGTTATACCACAAGGCAAGTTGTATAACCTCCTGTCTATATGCGGATTCATTGTTGTCTCGAATGAGACCAATCACTGTTGTGTCATCAGCAAACTTCAGTATTTTAACAGATGGATTGTTTGAGATGTAGTCATTGGTATATAGGGAGAAGAGAAGTGAAGATAGCACACAGCCTTGGGGGGGCCCTGTGCTAATTGTACAGGTATTTGTTGTGATTCCACCTAACTTCACCGGCTGCTTCCTGTCTGTTAGACAATGTCATATAGTATATTCGTGTATGTGTGGTTGACAGGTTCTTAATACTAGGACCACTAGTTTAACTTGGATCAGACCTGAATAGGGTGCTAGTAAAAAGCACCTATGCTGTAATACATGGATGTCAAGCTCGCCATGTCACATTGCTGTCCGGTGAAGTTTCACAACAATTTCCCCATTCATGGAGCTCAGGCGGTCATGGCCTGCACATGATGCACCAGGCCCATGGGCCATCAGTTTGGCACGCCTGCTGTAACATGTCATAATAATATCAGGGAACATTCAGAACAGCAAAATAGCACTGCTATGGATTAAGCAGAGGAATTCAATAAAAATACTTTAGTAATGCGATACCGTGCTAAAATGGGAGACACCAATAGCCTGCAGTGACAATTGTTAATGCAGTTAAGTAAAAGCCACATTTATTATTTGAGCAGGACAGTGCTTTGTAGAAGCAATACATAGTTCCTGTACATGCTTTCAACTGTTAAGTGGGCAGGAGCTGGGCAAGTAAAGGGGGCTCACCCATTGTGCATTGGGGGATAGCCTATTGGATGGAAACTTCTGGGAGTTGGAAGCCTCCACAAGTTGTCAAAGTTGATAAACCCTATTATAAAGTATAGATTACTGTATGAACCATAATTGTTGGCTTCACAGTGCACCTTAATTTCAAATTATTATGCTTTAGCAGTATTATCTGCAGCCTATAGTATTTCTTATAATATTTCTTCCTAAGAATTGGATTTAGGATTGCAGCCTTAATCCATTGTTTATTTGACTATCTGTCTAGAAAAAAAAAAAGATAAATGTCTTCTTCACTGTTGGCTGGGATGATGGAAGCCGTCACTCATCCACTGCCCTGCCTCCCCAAAGAGGAAAGGGAAAGCAAGAGTCAACGTCGGGCATAGAACGCCGCGAAGACTTCACTTTTCCTGCCGCGCACGCCCTGAACCGCTGCGCATGCTCCCATGGAGGAGACGCGCGTGTCGGCAGACTCCAGCCTTACAACTCCGCTCTGAGAGCGATGCGTCTTCTTGAGGGAGGGAGGCGGGGCGCTCAGATACAGAGAAGGCCGGGAGAGGCAGAGGGAAGGTACGACGGCGCGCCCCCTCCCCCCTCCCCGCCAAAGGCTGGAAGGCGGGGCCTGCGAGGGGAGGAGAGAACGCAGGCCCTTCCAGCGAACAGAGCGAGCGTCCGGGCTAGGATGCTCTTGGTATCGCCCTGCGGGGGCAGCAGCTGCAGCAGTAGCAGAAGCCGTGCCAGGGACTAACCCGCCGCTTCGCTCCTGCCGCAGCCGCGCTAGCGCCCGACGTGCTGCCCGAGAACCAGCCAGCCAGCCAGCAGGGCTGCCTGGTTTTATTGGCCCCTCCTTTCCCGCCGTCTCTTCCTTTCCCTCCCCTGCCCTTTGGCGGCTCCGGGGCACTGACCCTCGCCGTCCTTTTTTCCTCTTCCTCCTGGGTTGCTCCTCGGCGGCTCCCATGGCGGCCCCGGGTAATATCGTGTCCGTTATGGCGAGTAAGACCAAGACCAAGAAGAAGCACTTCGTGGCCCAGAAAGTCAAGCTCTTCCGGGCCAGCGATCCGCTGCTTAGCGTCCTCATGTGGGGAGTGAACCATTCGGTAAGACGCCGCTGCCGCGCAGACGACTCCGGGGGGCGGGAAAGACTCTCCTGGTTGTAGTTTCCCCTCCAGCCCAACGCTCCCCTGGCGCAACGGGCTGCAGACAGTCCATCAGCCCCGGCTAGCTGGCGGCTGAGCAGGATGGGAACTATAGTACCGCGCCTGTGGAGAGCGTCATATAGGGAGAAGGATTCCCTTCGATTTTACAGGTGTGTTGTCGCCTGCCTCAATTTCCCTTCTGGCATAAGAAAGGTGTGATGGGGATTGATGTAGCTCTCAGCTTCTAATCAATTTGCTGCTGCCCTGTGACTGCAACTCCCTCCCCCCGATCTTGCAGGGCCATCTTGCTCTTTCACACCTCGGATTTAGACTAAGCTGCAGGAATTCAGAAGTAGCGGTGCTCCATAACTGGATTGGTATAGTTGGTTGAAAGAGGATACAGAATTTCATTCCGGGAAAGAGATGCTCATTTGCAGGCAGGATAGATAACCTTTGGATCCACTAATGCAGTGCTATGTTTCCTTTGGGATGTCAACAGCTGTGGGTGTGCAGTTTCCCATTGTTTTTCTGTTCCTATGTGTGGCTGCATCTTTGCAAAGCCTTCAATGCGTAAGATAAGTAATTCTGCTTCAAGCAAGGGCTAAATATCAGCTGCTAGAATATTTCCTTTAGTGTTTGCATGTAAGCACCCAAAGATGACTGTTCATAATGCTAGACAGACATTAGCTTGGTTGGACAAATAACTATTTTTATTTCCTGTGTCATCTTCACCCAGAAAACACTGGGGTGCAAACCCAGAGCACATGTCACTGTATGTATATTTGTTGTGATTTGTGATAGACAGCATCATAATTGAATGTCTACTTGGCTAATGGTTTTATTACCTCCACATTTTGATGTATTTTCCATAGTATTGTTGAAAATCAGTCAATAAAACAGTGCAAATGAATTGGAAAACTTTTTTCATTTAATCCCCAGTACATTCAGTGGACCATGTAGTAGAAAGCAGAGCAGTAAGCAATATCTGTGATAAAGGTAGGGTAGCTATAGTAGAGAAGGTGATGGCAGTGTGCTGCTTTGGAATACTGCAGTGTCCTGTTTCTCAGTTGGGAATAACAGTTCATTTAAGTATGCAGTATTATGCTAGTCAGATCAGGGAGAAAAGAAATGTATAATATAGCTTGAGAGAAGAAAAATACTATTGAAGGTAACATGATTTTGATAAAGATAAAATTTGTGATCCAAGCTGTTAGAAATGAGAGAATGCCAATGGTATAGGAAGTGAAGAAAGTGTCTCATTGTAATTGTATGAGAATTATATTCACCTGGTATGGGGAAGTAATACTGCAACTGTGTGTGTGTGTGTGTGCATGTGCGCACGCGTATGCACATAGACCAAATATGCAGGGTTTTGTTCAGAGTGGGAGGAAAGATTGGTTCTAAAGATTATGGCGGCCTGTTATGAACTTTTGAAATTTACTTTTTTTTAAATTCAGCACAAGGATTAAAAGAGAAAAAACCTGCTTAAAGCAATAGTTAATAAAGCACAAGTCATATGCTTCCCCCCCAAATAAATAGTATTGTGTGACTTTAATATAATGAGAATTTGCTTCATTGCATAATGTTGTATGTCCATATATATCAGCTGCCATATCTTTCAGCAGAAGCTATATTTGGATTTGCATAATGATTCTAAATTCATAGTTAATTCGTAGTCTTCTTTTTCCTGGAAAGCTGGTCCCATGCCCTGCTGTAAATATGAGTACAGCTAAATTCACTGAATGCTTATATCGAGAATGCTCAGGCATGATTAACTTTCATACAAAAGTGCTGTTCGAAACATAAAGCTTCCTTAACTTGAGTAAAATAACTTTCACATCACATATAGTTTGACTTCACAAACTTATCTAGGCCACAGTTTCTCAACCTTGGCCCTTTCAAAAGATGTGGACCCCAACTCCCAGAATTGCCCATCCAATATGTCTGACTTGTCCAGACCTCAAAGGCCAATGTTAAGAAACACTGTTGTAAGCTAAACTGATAGCCAACTAGTGGTTTTGCGACTAATCTGACAATGCTGTACATAAAATACAATGGATAATCTGCCTTGAGCAAAGATGAGTATATGTGCACATATTTGCTCATACCACACATGAATATGAAGGTTTGAGGAAGTTAGCTAATTCAGTTTCTGATTCTAAAGTAGACATTTTCTTACTTTCTTCTTGAAATACAGATGGAGGATTTAGAGAAATAACAAATAGGATAACAATTAACCTTTCATTGCATAAATGTTATTTTTATGAGTTTTATTTTCCCTCAAAGTTACATGAATATTAGTTTGTACTATGCTTTGCTGAAAATTCTAACAACTTTTTTTCATGAAAAGTTTTCATTCTGCATGAAAACTTTCCATTAAGTCTATATTTGTTATATTTTCAAGAGAAGAGAGCAGATCTGGAAGGTGGCTTCTGATAATTGATTATATAAAAAGAAGTCTATAACAGTAAAGTCATAAGTTGCTTATAATGTGGTAACAATAATATTCTACAAGAACATTACAAGAAGTTGTTACAGTAGATTATCATGCTATAGGATATGAATTAATTAAAAAAAATTGAGAGGTTTCCAGAAAGTTAATACAGTACTGAGAATCATAGTACATCTGGGAAAATATATATTTATACATCGTCTTCAGTTTTGAAATTAAATAAGTGAAAGGAAACTCAACTCATAACTCAGAAAACAATTTTAGAACATATTTAGTATATGTTGAATTGTAACAATAAAACTAAAAGGTAAACCTTTGAAAGATATATTTTTCTGGTTTCACTATAAATAATTATCTTTAATGAGAAAAAGAGTTGTGAAGAGTTAAATTTTCATTTTACCTTCAGTTAAACTTATCTGTTCAAAGTAGTATATTCATTTGGCAAATAATTTTCTCAACAATTCTACATTTTCAGACAACAGCTGCTGTAAACCTTGCCACCAACTAGAATTGATAGGAGCCAAAGCCTAAACTTCTTGCATATTTGATTAGAGTTATGCAAAGGTTATAACAGTGTTATTCTCTTTTTTGTTCAGTCTATTACCCTTTTTTAATATTGCTTTGTACAATCCTGAATTCTATTCTTTGCTCTGCCACCAATAGCTCAGGCAGTACAAATATATTGTAAAATTTTCAATCCTATTCATCACTTCATATTTTCTTATGCTGGAATGCCCATCCTAATCATCAGTTATTTTGTGTTGTCCTAAGTGTTTCATCTCTGTCAAATTATTTGCATCTCATTTCAAATAAACTAATGAAAAAGCGAATGTGAAATATTTGGGATTTCCCCCTCCATAACAGTATGTGTCTGAATTTCCCTAAAGTATTGAAAATGGAAAATACTTTATTATATCAGTGATTGAAAACTGAATATTGATCGTGGGTGTTGGCTAAAAAAAGCAAGTGAATTAGTTACTTAAAAAATAACGTTACATTTTCTGCTGATTTCCTGCGTCTTCAATATCTACTCACCACGACTTGAGATAAAGTTACATAATACAGTCCAGTATACAATTACAATTACAAAATCTACAATAGCCGCTGGACTAACATAAATAAACACACAGTATCCTAAAGTAATTAATACTGACTCATTCAATGACTGTTTAAATGTCTTTGAGGTTTTAAAATGCAGATTAGCTTTTTATGTACATACTTTATTAGATTGCTCTACTTGTCTAGAAAATTATCACATCATATGACAGTTCCTAACTGCCATTCCTCCCCTCAAGTGGTCTGCAGAGTATATCAAATAGTTTATACAGGTAAATTCTTTAGTCGGGGAAGATTTCTACCTGTAGGTGGATATGAATAAAGAAACTACTCTAAAGTAACTACTCATATTCTTTTTGGTTTCTTTGGGCTGATATTAATAAACAAAATAAAAACTAGTTTATAAATAATAATAAATTAGTTTATAAAAAGAAAAGTTCAGAAGGTACAGAAAAATGAAAAAAGTAGAATAACAAAGATAATAAATAAATTGTTTCCAACTTCATTATAATTATAATAAGTTAGCATACTGTTGGGAAATAAAAAATGAGCTGGAAGGAGTGAGACCTAGCTTAGAGTCCTTGCACTGCCGCAAAAGGCATAAAGCTTGACTTCCCCCAAGCTCCATGAAGCCATTATTTCATCATTCCCAGGGGAAGGCAAGCAGTCTAGGAAAATTCTTGTAACATAGAAGTCAATAAATTTTTTACTTCAATTATTTACAAGCAGCTCTGATTGTTTGTTCCTGACATACATTTTCACTCTTATTTAATATAACAATAAAACATCTTTTCTAGATTTGTTTATTGTATTCCTATTTTGGTAATTTTAATTTTTGTCCTTCATACCTAAAAACGTTGTAATGTCTATATCAAATAAATATTTTCTTAAATTTGTTTTTATCTTCTAAACATTTATTCATTGAAATTTGTATCCCTTTTGAGATATTAATTATTAATATTTAAGGCTATCTTTCAAAAAGTTCAAGATAACAAAAAGTTATAGCCATTAGTCATTTACAGCCAAAAGTTTTAGCTTAGCCATTTCTGTTTGGTCCTTTAGTTCCCTCTAGTGTCCTTTTCCATTTTCATCAAGCTGCAGTTTCTAATGTGAGTTTACTTCCATTTCAGATTTCCTATAAATATATTATTTAATTATTATTATTTTCAAAGTTTGCAGCTCCGTTTAAAACTTCCTTATACCAAAATTCTTGTGTGTGTGTGAATGTGAGCACGTGTGTGCGCGTTCTGTCAGTTATATATTATTTATTTTAAATTCTTAAGTCTCTGTTTAAAATTTGTGAAATCCAAAGATTTAAGGTAAAACTCACCAGATATAAAATTAAACTCACTGTTTTGAAGGTCTCTAATAGCAATAAAATGGTTAAATTGAATATTTCTGAATGTTGTTAGAAAGTGAATTCTGCTGGCTTAGTGCCTTATAAAGACTCAAC